CCCGAGCACCTTCGATCACACTTTCCAAAGAATCCATTCTGTCGGATATGTGCGATTGCTAAGAACACCGCAGCGCGTGTTGCTCGCAAACCCGATGGTCGTGCCGATGACGGGATCGACAATGCTACTGCCCCGTTTCAACAGCTCGCCACTGACAGTGTCATCCTTGCGAAAGGAGATGAACATGCGGGCATTGGAGTCGGAGGGATTAAATCTCACCACGTCATCAGGGATGTTTTCTCTGGAGCAAGGATTGCATATCCTGTATCCAAAAGGGACACAGCAGCCCATTCCAAAAATCTAAGGCACTTCCTAGGTTTGAAAGCCAACGAGCTCTCTCCGACATGTCTGGTCAAAATGGATGAAGCTGGAGAGCTTGAAGCGGCAGCTCATGAGGTCGGATTAACACCCGAAACCTCGCTGCCGAACCGATGGCCCCACAATGCCGAGTTGGAAAGGGACATTAGGGAAGAAAAGGAATGTTGCAGATCCATCCACCTCCAGAGTGGGTTGCCATACGATCTACACACTCACTCCTACCCCTTTGCGTGCCTCTCCATGTCATTCGACAGACCTGCAACATTCGACAAGGCTAAGACCCAATGGGAAGCCTTGACAAAGTCGAAGTTCGATGGCATTAGGCATTGCTTTGGTCAGCTTGTCTATTACCGTAAAAAGGGCATTAATAAGCGCACTCTAGAACCCAACTTGGCACCTGCTTTGTTTTTGGGCTGGAGGGTTGACGCAGGCCTTCGGTATCGCCATGTGGTCAAGGTCCTAGATTATCAAGAATTTAGGACTCGTCGAGCGATTGTAGTGCATGATGTCCCGGAAGCAGAACTCTTCGTTGAAGAAGGTGAGCCTTGCTTCCCCGTTGCGGCAGCAGCCCACAAGGCGCTGCGGACGGGGGAAGCCGAGAGTGAGCTCCCAGAAGTCGCTCTTAAAGAGGTTCCGTTTAGCGAAGTAGCTGCACCGCCGACTCCCGCTCCAGGCACGCCGCGAGGCGTGTACATCACTGTGGATCGGATAATTCGGTTCCGTGAAACACCAGGTTGTCGAGGTTGTACCGGGCGCACCCGGTACCATACCCCCGAATGTCGACGCCGCTTCGCAAGGCTTGTCGATACAGAGAAAGCCGAGGAGCGCTCCAAGCGCTCGGCTGCCGTCGAGGTAGAGCGGTCACTTCGCCCCTCCGAAGCGATTGACCCAGTTCATGCAGCCAAGGAGGCACGTCTCGAAGAAGACGATGCCGACCTTAAAAAGGCACTTGAGCTTTCCCGCCTTGAAAAGGCAGATCTATCTGATCCCGATGAGCTCGAGAAAGCACTGAGGGCATCCGAAGAGCATGATGATGCTCTTCGCGGCAAGCCAGCTCCGTCTCGGCCAGGGGGGATTCCTCCAACCGCGCCGCCTGCAGCCACAACTGGCGCGGCGGTGACAACAACCACTGCAACCTCCACGTCACTCACGTGCCACGTAGCCGACTCCTTCACCAAGAGGGAGGCTCGGACTCTGCCTGTGTTCGGCATGCCATGTTCCAAAAGGGAGCCATGCAAAAAGTTTTCCGTAGGGAATAAGAGGGCGCAAGCGTATCGCGCGGGGAAATTCTATGCCTGTAATGTTCGAGTATGCATGTTCAAGTGACTCCACCATGGGAGCAGTGCATCAAGCATTGGGCATTCCCCACGTGAGACTGGCTAAAGAACACATCGATCTTGAAACCAATGAAGGGGATGAGCAACTGACCGCTCAATTGCAGTCTTGTAGCAAGCCTAACATGTGGGCAGCCATTCCGTGCACCTCCGGGTCGCCATGGCAAAGGCTAAATGTCCATAAATATGGCAATAAATACAAGCAGTATCTCCGTGCACAGGTTAAAAGATCGGAGGCGTTGTTCGCAAGGTTCACAAAGCACGCCGAAGTAGTGATAGAACAAGAGGGTCACGTCACTTTCGAGTGGCCTCGCGGCTGCGAGGGATGGGAGCGCCCCGACGTAAAGGCATTCTTCGAGAAGCATGCGTCTCGCTTCCACTCAGTGACTTTCCACGGGTGTGCAGTAGGTCTAACTGACAAGGAAGGGACTCCCATCAAGAAGCCGTGGCGTCTCATGACCACATCCAAGGAACTTCATGATGGGTTCCAGAATAGGACGTGCCCCCACCAACACTCCTTCAAGCATGCACAGGCCGCAGGTAGCAACACTGCACGCACCGCCTTTTATCCACAAGAAATGTGCAAGATAATCGCTAGTGCGTTATACCCACATGTCGCAACACCATGCGCGCCTGCAATGCCAGTCCAGGCTGTCATCGTGCAACAGGAGCATCGGGAAAAGGAGCAGTCCTTGAAGCATACCTCCGCACTTTCGGGTGTTGGGGCTCTCGCGTCAGTTGTTGAATCAGATCCAACCTCCCGCAGATTCTTTGAAGAACTCTTTGACTTGGATAATCTCGTTAGGGAAATTCAGGGAATTCCAAAGCAGGAGACTTCTCCCGACATAGCCGCCATGGTCACAAAACTTCTTTCACGTTCAGAAATGCTTGCCTCGTCCGAGGCATTACAGGCCATAAAGGAAGAAGCAGACGGCTTAGGTAATGCGGGAGTCTGTGATCTCAGCACCGTGAGAGAGCAAGGAGAGGTCGCTGCTGAAGCGCGACGGACGCACACTAAAGTCCACTTCGGGCAACTAATGACTATCGCCTCCATCAAATTCTTTGAGCTAGCAAAGCATCTACAGAAAGTGAAGGGGCGTATAGTATACCGAGGGGACTGTGCGCGGGACGAATATGGGGCGGCGGCCGTTTATCAAGAACTCGGCGCCAACCCTACGTCCGTTCAGGGTTTGAACAACTGCCTTGCCTACGGCTCACTGCCAGGTCACAAAACCACGGCGGCAGACGCCGTAAAGGCATATATCCAGGCCCTACTTCGATCTCAACATCAGACGTGGATATCATTGCCGCCGGAACTTCGTCCGAAGTGGTGGAAAGAAAAGTTTATAAAACCGGTAGTCCTTCTAGTAAAAGCACTCTACGGTCACCCCGACGCGGGGGGGCTATGGGAGCAGCACTTCAAGAAGATCTTGAAGGAGCAGACCGGAGAGGAGATCCAAGAATTTCCAGGAAACTTTTACTTCCCCTCAACCGGCTTAATGCTATCCACTTATGTGGATGATCTAACACTTTCAGGGCCGGCAGAGCAGCATGATCCCTTTTGGGAAAAGCTGATGTCATGTGTTGATATTGAACCCCCAGAACCGATATATCGTGTTTTGGGAAGGAATCATGTCATCATTAACGCCCCGAAGTGCGAGCCTAATCCAGCCGAGAGCGCAGCCTTTGGCGCGCTGTCCAACGCAATGGCTTTTGATATGGTTGACTACGCCAAGCAAACTGTTGATCTATATGTCTCCATTTCAGGTCAGCCGATTAGTAAGCTCCGCAAGGCATTGACCCCATTCTGTCCAGAAGGGTCATTGCCAACACAAGATGATGCCGAAGCAGGTGAACTGAGCTCAGCCGCTTGTAAAATCTTGATGAAGGCCTTGTGGTTGGGACGTCTTGCACGTCCAGACATAATCAAGCCCATCGGGGATCTTGCAACGTGCGTTCAAAAATGGTCGCGTAATAATGATAGGCAGTTGGCTAGGCTAATAGCTTACATTAACACGACCACAACGCACAGGTTGGTTGGCACAGTTCAAGACGATCCCAGAGAGCTGCATCTTGCGCTCTACGTCGACGCTGACTTTGCAGGAGAGGAGGGGGCCAAGTCCACGTCAGGGGGGTTTCTCGCCCTGAAAGGTCCGAATTCCCACTTCCCCTTAGCATGGATTAGCAAGCGCCAGACTTCTGTGTCGCGTTCCACTACAGAAGCAGAGATTGTGTCGTTAGCATTTTCTTTGTATCAGGAGGGACTCCCAACACTTAGTCTGTGGGATCGACTATTGGGTCGCCCAATGACCCTCAGGATCCATGAAGACAATCAAGCTACTATTCTGGTTGGAAGGAAGGGCACTCTTCGAAGTTGCGATCAATTTCTAGGACACATAGGGTTAACCTAGCATCCCTTGCAGAACAGTTACAGGAAGGCACTGGAGTAGAGCTTGAATATGTGAAGACCGATTTCCAAGCTGCCGATATCTTTACCAAGGCTTTGCCTCCACATAAGTGGGATCACGCCTTGAGGCTCCTGGGAATGCGCACAGACCTCCCAGAAGAGCTAGAAGATACTCGATTCAACATCAAAAAGTAGAAAGTCATTCCGAAAGCAGTGCTATGAGTACTAAAAGTGCCAAAATATCCTTCATCCTGTTAAAGCCTCGATGACCAGGGAGCAGCGTATCGCGCTCCAAAGCAAAAGCTTACCCTGCCTTAGTGCACACGGCGAGGGGGGAGTCAAGAAATAACGACCCCTTTGCCCCCAAAGGCATGGTAACTTGCCTAGTTGTGTGTTCACTGGCATGAGGTTTGCATGAGGCCACTTTGGCTTAGGTTGAGGGTTGCATGACATGACAGACTTGTCAAACGGCAAACGCCGTTTGGCTCAAGCGCTCACTGAAAAAGGGCGCTGAGTGCGGAACTAGAGTTTAGAGACAACCCCCTGAACCGCTGAGGGATTAACCACGGTCAATCCACCTCTTTTTGTTCAGGGCGCAGCCTTCGGCGCGCGTTTGGGGTTTCTTGCTCTTTTGATTATTTCTGGTGTAAAGGAAGGCTTTGTTTTGGACCTAACGGTTTGGGGCGGAGAAAGTGATGTCGCGGCTGGTTCCGAGTACCTTAGTCCTGGAGCCAACAAGTCCGACTCAGGGAGATAAATGCCCCTGGCGGCAGGGCCACCACGGTGTTCTTGGGTTTAATGTCCTTCACCCAGTTGCCCAGTGGCGCCCTTTTGTTCAACTTTGTTTTGGGAAGACGTCCACCAACCAAACAAATCGGATGCCCTTTTGCCTCATGGAGAATCCACGCAGCTGAGTTCAGGGGTGCGTCCGACGTGCCCAGGTTCAAGGGGAAGGTTGGCGACTGGCACAAGCTATTGGAGGAGTGGCGGAACAAGCAGCGGGAGCACCTTCGATGCATCGGATCCCGAGAAACAAACAAAAAGGGAGGGTTCGCAGGTCGTGTATCATTTCTTAGGAAGACAACACATGCTGGTCCATTCCACATTGGTTCCCTAGCTGCGGGCAGCCGAGTTTTCAAGAATTCGGCACTTTCTTGGGCTAGGGTCCAACACCCGCAACCTGAGCCACAAAGCCTTCCAGGCCACCCGGCTAAACCAACGAAGCCCACCTCAAGCTTGCCCCCAAACCCTCCCCCGAAGCCAATCCCAGTCCCAATGGGTCAACCAACCAGGACCAATCCCAGTCCCAATGGTTCCCAGCCATCCGGTGCCTGAGCTTCTTAGCTTAGAAGGGGGAAGGGGGTTTCCGTTTAGCAGACGAAAAGTTGGATGTTTAGCAGGGGATCGGTTTGGACAGCCCAATTTATCTTACACCCAGGTGGCTAAACACTAAGTTGGGCGAATATCCAAGTACCTGTCCAAGCATGGTCCAAACGCGATCATGCCACCAACGTGCTTTTGTTGGAATATGTTGGAATCCATCCTTGGCCAACGGCACAGGGCCCCGGTTCTTGGAATGCGAAGCACGTGATCTTTGACCTAAAGGTTTGATTCGAAACCAGCTTTACGGCGAGACACAGATGCCGGGGATGCTCAAAACGTCCTTCATCACCGAATCCCGCCCATCCAAATTGGGTTGACACAAGGATGGGAGTGTAAGGATGGGAACGGGCAACACGTTTTGCCTACTAGCAGCGAGGATGATATGGGTCCCTGATAAACTTAAAGGATATCACTGGGCCACTGAACAAAAGCAATAGGCCCATGTTGGCTTCCCGCTTGCTTACCACGAAGGGAACGCCGCAACCTCTAACTTCTTTCTTTTGTTTCCTTTCCAGAGGCTGATGTTTTAGATCGCCTGGAGTTCTCTTTCGGCTTTACCCTCTTTCTTCGCTGTTTTTTTGTGTTTTACCTGGAAGCCTTGGCGAGGGCGCCATTGAAGCCCAGGAATCTCTCTCTCGTTGTACTTGTTATTTCTGGGTGGGGTTTATCTGCAAAAAAGCTGTTGAGACCGTGCCACCTGTCACGGCTTCCGCTTGCCGCTTCGGAGGTTCCAGATGCGGCCGGCAGAGGGCCAGATGGAGCAAGAGGAGGCGGAGGGCCTTTTTTTCTTTGCGATCCATCTAGCCACTGGTCCACTAGCACCTTCCATTTGCTGAAAAATGAGTGTTTTGCTTTTCAACATCCCATTGTTGGTTTTAAACGGGGTTTATCACTACTGGACATATTTCTCATTTTGGCCAGGGCGCGAAGAAGCAAATGCAGGCGGTTTCCTGAAAAGTGTACATGGGCCAATGTCACCCAGGCGTATTTATCCAGGTTTACTAAAACCGGGGTCCGCTGGCAAAAACAACCACCTCCTGCTTTGAGGCTCTCCTTTTTTTGGGGGGAAGTTGTTGAGGGCTTGTGTGCTTGGATATCTGCTCGCAGCTCATGTTGACCGAAGTTGCTGGCTCCCAACAAACTCTGAAGGGTTTTCTTCCATTTGCTTACTAATATGTTGATGTTCCCTTGTTGGCTTTCACGGGAACCTATCACTACTGGACAATTTGTTTTTTTCCCGGGGCCGAAGAAGCCAATGGAAGTCTTGGGAAGCCAGAAGGCATAGGACGGAACTCCGAGAAAGCTTCGGGCGTCCGGGCCTGAAGCTTTCGAAAGCCTTGTGTCCACACGGGCGGGAGCCCGGTCCAAAATTCCAAGCCACAGGAGGAGCTTGAGGTCCGACCGCCGTGGCTCATGTCCTAAGGCGAGAAGAAGATCACATCAAGATGGCTTAGAATGAAATGTGGACCCGGAATTTTACACCAGAGTGAATGGTTGCAGGGAACCCTGCCGAAAGGTTTGGCTTCATGTTGCTCTCGTTTTCTGTTCAAGACATGTCTTGTTCAAGCATTCTGCCCTCCTGGAATTGACATGGAACCTACCACAGACAGACTTATACTGTAGAGCTGTTCCCTTTGCTGCTTTCGTTTTGGGGTTCCTTGTGTTCATGTTAACCTCGGATTCATCCAGAAGCCCCTACTAATCAGAGACACTCCCTAAAATAGATCATTTCCGTACCAAAAGGCAACCTTCCTTATCAAAATAATCCTTCAGACGAATCCGAAGTCAACCTGAATTTTCAGGCGGCATCATTTCTCGCAGGCTGGACGTTTTTCTCCAAACTCCAAAGGAGCCACACGGCAAAGTTTTGACGTGTTCTTTTGCCAAATTCCAAAGTAACGCTGGGGGGCACACGGCAAAGTTTGGACGTTCCCCCCCCCCCCCTTGAAAGGGAACAGAGAGAAGACCTCAGACCTGCCATTTTCAGGAGGTTGCTCGCTTCTTTGGGATACGAACTCACCGTTCCTCCTTCAGGCCGAAGCGCCGAAGGAGGAGGAGCCGAAGCCTGAGGGTGCAGCGCCAGAGGGTGAGGAGGCCGAGCCTAGGTCGCTGTGCTTTTCGGCCAACTGCTGAACGCCCTGGGGCCATTTTTTCAGGGCCCCGTTTTTCAAAAGAAAACCGAAGGGAAATCCTGCTGTCCCCTTGTTTTTGGGTGGTCCTCCATACTTTGGCACGTGTGGATCTCGCGGTTTTGGAGGCACGGAGGTGCTCCGAGCAGAGCGCATGTCTGCCTTTGCGCCGATCGGGTCTTTGAGGAGTCAAGATCAGACCACCTGACCCCAGAAGAGGTCCTGGGTTTCCGGGAGGCTTGAGGGGCGTGTTTTTTGGTTGTTTTTTTCTGTTCTTTTTTTCTGGATTTTCCATTGGACCCACCAAACCTGCAGCTTTTGGCAGAGAAGTCAACAGCGACCAAGGTTTCCTTGGCCGTGGATTTGTTGACCAGGCGCCAAAGGAGGGAGAGGAGAAGAAAGAGGAGGCGCCGAAGGAGGAAGCCAAGGCGCAACAAACATAGGGCACTCGCCCCCATTGGAAAGTGGTCAAACCATGGCTGGTTCCTCTTCGGACCCCTTCGAATGCCGCCGCTACGTGCCGCCTTTCAAAAGGAAGCAACAAAAAGAGGGCCCCTATAAGGCTGACACTTGTTTGACAATTCCCCCCCCCTCCCCCACCAAAAAATAATCAAAAGCAAAGAAAACAAAACACACAGAATATGTCTTGCTTTAAGGATGAGACCTACATTGTAGGGTTGCCGTGAGGAGAAGAAGGAAAGCGAGGTGGACCCTATGGCAGTGGAGGACGTGTGCAACGTGGGCAACGACAAGCCCTATGGCCCAGTGGGCGGGATTGGAACCTGCGTTTGGGTTCCGCAGGTTTGGCGGACCTCGGAGTAACCCTCTTGCGGATTCGCGGTGGAAGTGGCAGAGTCCTAAGTTCGCAACTCCGACTGGGCCTTTTGTATGATTTAAGTCTTGGTGCAGGGTTTCCTCCATTTCCTTTTCTGGAACCACCAAGCGGCAGTTTCGATGGAAACCGCAATTAACGGGGCGGTGCTGGCATTTCCTTGTCTGGCATGAAAAGTGGCAGCTCCAATGGACACCACCAGCCAATTCCCACTTTTGAAGGGGGAAGTCCAGTGACCCCTGTGGTGCTTCCCCCCCAAAACTGTACTGCTCTTGGGTTGGATCTTTAGACTTTAACTTTTTGGATACCCCTCATATTTCCTGGCGACCTGCAAAAAGTTAAACTTTTTGCTGGTGGAGCTACAGCACCCGAGAAAACTGCGAGTGGATGTGTTGTGCTGTTTGAAACGTTTTGTTCCGTTGACTTGGAGCTCCCTGCAAGCCGAGCCGGAGGCCCCTCTTTGCCGCCTTCGCCTTTGAGGCCTTGGAACAAAGAGGGGATCCACAACGCCCAGTGGGTCCCAGTGAAGTGTGTCTGTCTTCTTTCTTCCCCAGAATTAGCTTCCCTTTTTGTTGTTTGGTTTTTTTGGGTCCTTTTGTTTTCCACTAACCAGCCAAAAACAAATAGTTTGTTGCTGGGGTCCTAATTCCAGCCTAGCTTTGGAGTTTGCAGGCAGGAAAACCAAAGGACAACCGTGAGTTTTGGGGAGGGTTCCCTAAAAACAGACAGACTCAAACAGGCAACGCTTCGCAAAGTCTCCTCTCATATCTTTTTTTTACTTCCATGGGTTGCCAGGGAAATAGAATCTGTTGGTCATTTGAGTCGATGATCAAGACTGGGGGGGGGGGGCGTGGCGGGTTTTCTAGGGGTTGATTCCAAATCCATTCTTTTCAACCATCGTTCTTTTCGATAAACGGATCCGTTTCCCCGGGGTTTTTGGCGGTTTTCTGGAAAGATTCGGATCCCTGGAAAAAAAGAAAATGGAAGCTACTGGTACCCCTAGAGGTTGAGTTTCCTCTTGGTGGTGTGAAAGAGCAAATCTGGGGCACTCTTCACCCAAGGGCCTGCCCTGGTTACTGAAAGTTGCCATGCCACCGCAGCTGGCTGGGTCCTTGGCTGTTTTTCTGTGGCCCTCCGGAAGGGCCACCGCGCGGGGAAGTCGCTTCTTCAAAAATGTGGGCATGCATCCGAGCAGTTCGAGGGGTGGGGCCCTTGTACTGTACCGCTCCGTTTTTTTGGGGGAAGGCTCCCCTACTAAAGTAGACGCAGCAAAAAGGGTGGCCTTATTCTTCCTCGCTGGAGGACCTAGAAGGGCATTCTGGGTTCTCAACATTTCCTGGAGCCCTTAACTTTGCGGTTCAAAGGCCGTCCGCTTGGTGTTTTTTTTTTGTGTTTTAGGGTTCGTGGTAGTTTCCACTAAACCACTCAAGGCTAAACTTTTAGCATTTCCTCAGGCCATCCTTAAATGAGCGTGTCTTCTTCTGGGGGTTAGTTTAAATGGGCACCGCAAGGAAAAGTGGGCCCTTCGACAAGCATGTTGAGAGAAAGCGCGACCTTGGCCTCAGCCTTTTGCAGGACTGGACCCTGCTGAATTTGCACCTTGGCCAGACCGACTTGGAATGACTTGGAAGACCACTTTAAGATGGCTCCCCCGAAGGGTTTGGTCAACGCTCTTTTGTCTGTGTTGTGTTTCAGGGTTGAATTATTGAAGCGCACTTGGACCTTGTTTGACCTGGGCCCCGTCACAACAAACATGCTGCACTATATTATATGGTGGTTGACCAAGATTCCGTTTGGCACCAAATGACCATGCTCGTGCAAAGGACCTCTTGATCAGCCCCCATATCTACCCTGTCACATGTCAGGGAATGGCCTGTTCAAGGGGTGGGGGGCAGGGGGTCCATCATATGGGCCCGTGTTGGGCCCGTTTCGGTGACTCCGAGCGCCGACTCTTACAGGGGCTTCCAAAAAGCCCCCCCCCAATTTTCACAACTGACAAAATAAATCACTGAAGTGGGTGGAGTTCATGATTTGAGTCAACCAAGTGTTCTACTCAATGTTCTTAAAGCATGCAGACCCCACTGCTTGATTCATGCGACGCCTTCTGCTTGCTTTGTTCAATTGCTTCATCCGCTTGATGCTTGGCTCCCCTGTTTGTCGGAAGCTCCGTTTCTGTTTTAGTCCTCCATTTGCTTATGAATATGCTTGTTTCTTTCGCCGTTGGTTTTAAAGGGAATCTATGCCCACTGGAAACATGTTTAGTTTTTTCCGGGGGACTAAAGCAAACGGAGGCTGTCAAACAGAAACTGATTCGAATTCCCAGACTTCTTTAAACCCTCTTGGGAAGTAATCACGAGGCCCCTTTCAGGACCCTTCCATGCGACGTCACCTGGGTTGGAGTTGGTATCTTTTTTTGGGGGTGGTTTTAAAGGGACGCTCAAAGGAAGTCACCCAATTTGGGGGCGGGGGGGTTGTGAAACATGAATGGGCTTGACACCTGAAAGGTGCAGGTTTCCTCTTGGCAGCGTGGTTGCAAGGCTGAACCTTGCAATTGAAGGACAACAACGGAAAGATGGCAAACAGTTTGACTCAGGGAGAAACTTAGGTCCATAGTAAGGATGGGCAACAACTGGGGATGGATGGACGAAGAATGGTACCATTTTAGGGTAGGTGCACCACCCATTTTAGTCTATTTTAGTGGGGATCGGGCCAGGGTCATTATTTTCATGGTTTCTGGTGGTTATCAAAGTCACTAAACTGGGATGATTTCCTTCAACCTACCACTCACGGGGTGACTTTGATCATGGTAAAAGAATGACCCAATGGCCAGTCGATTTGGATGTTCACCGGGACTACGGATTTTTTCGGATTTTGCCAAACGCCCATGGCCGGCCATCCATCCGCGGCTCGGCTTTCTTCGGCTCGGTGAGGCGCGCGGAGTTGCACCTCTTGGCGGTGGCCTTCTTGAAGGACGCCGGGGATCCGGAGCGTGGCCCGGAAAAAGACGGGGGAGGGGGGGGATTGGGGGGGGATTGGGGTGGGGTGGGGTGGGTGGGGTGGGGGGAGGGGGTTCTGCCTTGTTGGCTGTTGTTGGGTGTTTCTGTGGGAGAGAAATCCTCACTCTTCGCATTTATTTGGGGGGAAAACCCTTCAAACGTGGTTCACAAAAGGTTCGGACTGTTTGTTTCCTTCATGTTAAGACGGGCCCGGCAAGTCTGAGTTTGTTTGGCCGATCGTGTCAGCTCCCTTTTCTTTCAAAGCTTTCATTTGCTTGAGAATATGCGTTGTTTTCTCCTGTTGGTTTTATCGGGAGTTTATCACGGGGACGAAGAAGCAAATGGAAGAAAAGCTTCGGATGGGTTGCTTGCCTGAGTAGTTGGGTTTCGTGGGCTGCAGTTCCGAGGAGAACTCCTGTTGCCTTTCTCGAGGCTGCATGCAATCCCTTGCATGTTGGAAGGGAGCCCTTCGGGGAAAATTCACGTGTTTTGTTTGGGGTGGTGTGCCTTGACTTCAGGTAACACTTGGTGGTTTAGATTTGTATTTGAATCCCTGGTTTTGCAGAGGGATGTAGAGGGTGCATGGGAAACCCCTCCTTAGCCACCAAACCACCGGGCACCAAACCGCCAATTCGAGGGAAGCTGATGACTACGGCCCGGGAGGGATGAGGTCCTTGGTTGGCGGGTCTTTGGCTCAGAAAAGAGCCACCCAGCTTGGTGGATCTTCATTTCTAGGCGGTTTGACCCCGTCGCTGACAGGGTCCATGTGCCAGTTGGGGTTCCAAATGGTTCCCACCAGCGGCGATCCCATACGTACCTGGCCGTGTTCTTGTTTGAGGGTACTGCTTTTTGGTGGTTTGAAAGGGAGGTTTCAAAAGGATCGCAACAATTCTGATGGGTTCCCACAACCAAAAAGGGCACATCCACCTGGCTTCGGTGAAGAATCTGGTTGCTCAAGGTATCGGCATCCACGAGCCAAATCTGGCCTTCTACTACCAGAAGTACTTCAAGCCCCTTGGGTCGAACATCAGCACCGTGGGCCGTCCCAACGTCCCAAGGTTGGCCTCTTCGGTTGTAGGGGCAAAACGAGAAAGGGCTGAAACCCCGGGTTTCCGGACGAGTGGATCCTTTTAGGTTTCTTACCGACGTAGTGTGGATGGTTGCGAAATTCGATTCGGCACCACTGTTTTCAGAACCCCTGGTTTCATATCCTGCCAACCCACAGTATGGCTTCGACTCCATGGCGTTCTGAACGCTGCGAGAAGCGGATTTCGTCCACCCATTTCACAATACCCCCCCCCCAAGGAATCAAAACAGACTGCAGGGCCCCGGGGCGGGGTTTAGTTGCAGTGAGGTCAGTTGAGTTGAGCTCCCAAGTTGCATTTCTTTGTCAACCGGTGGGCTTCTCAAGGCCGAGTCATGAGGGAAGGGAAATGCGGGTCTGTCAGCTTCTCTCCCGCTGACTAACATGGCAACTGAGCGGGACTCTGATCTTCCAGGCGCCCCACATGTGCCATGCCCACTGGGAGGAAGGATGTGTCTTTTCAGTTGTGGGAGTTCAGGTGGGCACCATGTAGATGGGGATTGTTACGTCCAAACATTTTTGAAGAGCAATTCCCGGTTGAAATGTATAGCACGGGCAGATTCCCCCCTCACCACCTAAGTTTGGGACATGTGCTTCCAGTACCTCCGCTTCCCCATGCCCGCTACGGCGGGTGCCCTAAATAGTGCACTCCGAATTGACAGCATTCATTCTATACTACCATGTTTTTGGTGAGCGCGGCGGATTGACTTGCAATATTTCTGTGGGTCAAAAATTATCACCACCAGGAATCGGACCGCAGATTTTAGTTCATATGTCCATTACTCATTTGTCCATTCAGTAAAATAGAGGTCTAAAAAGAAAGACAAATGATGTACCATTAGAATGAAGATAACGTAAACACCATCCATAATACCAGGGTTGAATTTGGGGTACCCATTTTTGACCCGCAGCCATAGTATAAGCTGCGAGGAAGCAGTTTGTGCCCAAGTACTACGGCGCGGAGAGCAACGCCGAGCTGATTGAGAAGCTGCTGAAGGCGCGGGAAAGAGGTCCCCTTTGTTGCATTTTGATTAGATGTTAGGACTTTAACTTTTTGCCAACTCATGGGTTTTCCATTAAACCACTCAAAAATAAACTTTTAGCAGGGGAGCAGAAAGAATCCGAGTCCCTACATGGGTATGTGTGGAACCCGGGGGAAGCCGTACATGTGGATGGACGCAATTCTGCACCAAAGATTCCCCGGAAACTGGGTTCGTGATGGCCCCTGCAAATACCAACCAAGAATAGTTTCCCATGGTGAAGAAGTGGTGCCGGATTCTGTCCATCAGTAGTGGTGGTTCTTTTGGTACGGTGAATGCCCGAAAAATCGCTCGGGGATTCCTTGTTCCCCTTGCAATGCTTAGGGCGCCCGCCGTATCCTTTGAATTTTGAGTATTAAGCAAAGGTGAAAAGGCGCACACAAACATGTTCCCTTTCAGCCTGCCAATTCCCGAATGGGGCCCATGACCTTGTTTTGGCCATGGCGCAGGTGATTCCAAAACAGCTGTTGGACTGGCCACTTTAAGGTTTGAGTTTCCTCTTGGTGGTGTGATGATTTAGGGACATATTGGGGCGCCCTTGGGCCAAGTCGGGGGCCCGGCGTCCAATTTCAGGGCGCCCGTGGAAAGTGGTGCAAAGGGTAGGTTTGCATGCCTGGCGCGCTAGGGTAACAAAGCTGGCTCCATGGCTTCAGGTCGGATCCCCCCTTTCCCGACCCAACCATTTCCCATGCATATGTCATGCTGGGGCCAGCAGGGAATGACCCAAGATTTTGGGAATGAACCGGAAGGGGATTCCCTGAAAGGAAATCACCAGTTGGATCGTTGCTAAAGAGGTCATTCCATTTCTTAATCCCTGAGCACCAGCAAGATGTCTGGTTTCAGGTGTCAGGTCCGTTTTTCCAAGGCAGGCCAGGGTTCTGGAACATCTGTGAAGGCACCTGTGCGACCTTTTTTGTGGCGGCTCATGGTTGGTTGTGCAAAAGGAATCTAGCACTGGACATAGGGGCAACATTTGTTCCAGACGTATCTGATGGGGGCTGGGGCGTCAGAAAGGGACGTCCGTGTCACAGCCGCCCCGCTCGCACACTGCAAGTAAACCAACCACACCCCACAAAGCCACGGTTTAAATTACGGTAATTATTGGGGATTGGGGGGCTGTCCAATTCCTGGTGGCTGGATTCGGCACACAGGAACGCTGTAACACCCCCGAGGACGAGTTTATGTATCCGGGATTGGCATTACAATACCATGAGAAGTTGCCTTAAATCAGTTGGAGTTCCTTTGTTCCCCTACTTGCATTATGGCAGGAATTGATGTTACAGTCGAGTATTTGCAGAGAACCCGTTTCTATGTTCAATGGCAGCGGTAGGCGCATTTTGATTGGATTCGGTCCCTGTTCGTTTCCATGACAGAGTGCCGTTTAGCAGTCTGTCAGTTGGCAGTCGTGTTTGTTTGCTGCAACACCTTCACGCACGTGGGTGCATGATGCCAACCTGGAGAAGGTCGACCTGTCAGATTATTGGGGGTGTTTCCCCCCAATGTGAAGGATCCGTTCTCAAGTTGGGAACCAGGCGTTTATTCACCCTGGGTCTGTCAGGACACTTTGCACCTGAACCCCGAGTCGGTCATGATGACCAAGCACGGCGAGGCCGATTTTCGGGGTGACAGCATTTTGAGATCCTGCTTTGCCTGACTGCGATTTGGCTTAGCTACTGAACCTTGCTTGGGGTGGGTGGGTGGGTGGGTGGGTGGGTGGGTGGGTGGGTGGGTGGGTGGGTGGGGGTGGGTGGGTGGGTGGGTGGGTGGGTGGGTGGGTGGGTGGGTGGGTGGGTGGGTGGGTGGGTGGGTGGGTGGGTGGGTGGGTGGGTGGGTGGGTGGGTGGGTGGGTGAAGACGTGAGCAAAACAATCGGTTCTTTTGGCACGGGCAGTCGCCAAACAGTTTTAGCTAGCACAGCTATGCTTGTTCAGTGGCGCTTTGTTCCCTTAGGACCTTTTCTTGGTTGCAAGGAACCTCAACAGGGGCGCTACATGGCTGAATAACAAGGGGAAACCAGTAGTTCATGTAATTTATCCAGACCTCCAGCCCCCCTATTAGCACCCAGCAGCCTTTGCATAGGTAATCTTTACCGGTGCTTAGATTGGACAGGGATGTCGAATTGTGCAGTAGCGCCTCGCTGCGCTTGATTGAGCCCGGCTTTTCTTTGAAACAAGGATCGCTATGGCTCCCCTTAACGTGGGTTGTTCTGGGTGCGTGATGCTTTAAGGGGAAGGAAGTATAGCCGGTGCCTTGAAAACTGCGCAATCATCAAGGGGAAGCCTGAAGTTGACCCATGAGCTTGGCCACCGGTATCTTTTCGGTGGTTTAGATTGGCGGAATTGAACCCCTAGTTGTGGGCCAATGGAATCCCGAGACCTTCTCCCTTCAGGGAGATGCTCCACAAGTGGGGGAAGCTGACCTCGGGCAATTCCAAGGATTGTGCCAGAATTCCTCCCCCCCCCTATGTGATTGAACCTGGTACTGTGGCTGCACGAGATCCATTTCGCACCACATGGAAATTGTTGAAACCAGAAATAACCTGAACGTTGGAATCTACGTTGGGGGATCGCATCAGAAACCGAACGGGTTTCTCTAAACGGTGGTGCCGAAATGCGGATGTCGCAACCATCCACAGTAGGGGGTTTGGTTCCTCCGTACCGAGTCTTGGTGCAGAGGGAGCGCCCCGTGTTTCTGGGCTCGTTGCTGGCCAAAGGCGCAGGGGAGAGCACACAGCTTTCTCCACAGGCAAAACCTCAGCAACACGTCTAGGTTTTTGTTTTCTTCTGTAGTTTATTGGAAACACAAATAGCTTTGTCTCAAAATATAGGGGAACCCTCAAAATGTAATGTTCCTTTTGGTCTTCCCTTAAAACGAACCAAACAGGGGTTCCCTCAACCAAAAAGACAGACCCATTTTTGTTGATCCAAAAGGTCTAAGGGGCTGGGGTGACACCAACGACCCGCCACTTCCATTTGCTGAAGAATCTTGCAATGGTTTCCCCTGTTGGTCGTAAAGGGAATCGATTTCACTCCTGGACATACTGTGGATGGACAGAACCTGCACACCCTAAGAAACGGTGGAATGATGGTTCATCCATAAATACCAACAATGAAATGGCTTCCGATGGTTTCCAAGTGGTGCCTAAGAGGACTTCGTCCATCCACAGTACGCTTCCTCATATTTTTTCCCAGGGGATGTGCCATTTGCTAAAGAGTCTTGCTTCTTTTCCCCTGTTGTAAAGGGAATCGATTTTACTACTGGACATATGTTTCCTCACTTCTTCCAGGGGAAGAAGCAAATGGCCGCTCGCTCGGACGGGTTCGGCCGGCCGTCGCCGTGAGGAGCTGGACTTTGGGCTGCTGGTGAAGCTGACGGAGGCGCTGGCTCGCGGCTCTGCTTCGCTTCGCGCCCCGAAGCCTTCAACCACAACCCATGCGGATGGTGGCGAAGTCCGGAAATTTCGGCACCACCGTTCAGAAACAAAACCCGTTCGGTGTCTGATTCGAACAAAAGAAAGACAAAAAAACTGTAAATACCCACAAACCATGGTTTCAACCATGGTTTCGAAGTGGTGCACAGTATGTCCCGAGCTGATTTGATTGGGGGGTTGTTGTTTTTTTTTCTTCCCATGTTATGTGGAACCCTCTTTTGGCTGAGTTGAAAGAAACCAAACCAACAGCGATTGAAGTGGGGGGTTGTTTTGCTTAATATGGGAATTGTTTTTGGGTTGGTTTAAAAGGGAAGCCTACAGGAAGCCCACCATTTGGGCACCCCCCATGTGCAGACAAACCCGCTTTGGAGGGGTTCCACAGGTCATTTTTTGGGGAAGGCACCGGCGAAGTGGACGGGGTTTGCGAAAAATCCCGGGTCGACATGTCGTGTTTTTTCTGGCTTTGGCATGGAGAGCGGCAGCAACACCTTGAAGCCTGCAGAAGGCGTTTGGACGATGGTCGTCCTTTTGTGTCAGTTTGGCTTATTGAGTTCCATCGGTTCTGTCTGTCGGGCTCCGACATTGAGTCCAACTGGTTGCACCACAGAGGTCATGCTTGGATGGTTTCCATCTGGTGCACAAAGGCTTCAACCATAAGGTTTGTCTCAAAGGGAACCATCGAACTTGGTGGTGTTCAACTTTGGTTTTCTGCTGGGCCAACCTTCAAAACAATGGCCTCAAAAAAAACGATCTGACATCAGTAATCCAAACATAAATCTTCGGCTCAGTCACATCCTCTAAAGAGTTGTTTCCCTTGAGGAACAAATATAATTCTTCAACATGAACATGTTCGGCGCTTCGGGGAAGTTGGGCCGGGGTCACCGCCGAGACGCAGGTCGCGCGGAGAGAAAGACAAGCCAAGATCGACTCAGGCGGATCGGATGTGTCCCCTTGCTTTTAACGGCTGGGGACGCTGTAGATTCGCGGAAGGAACCCAAAAGGGAATCCTCCAACAGGCCCAGATTGCACTATGCTTTTGTTCGAATAAGTATATGTTTGTGTGGTTCCACGTTGATTTACATTCGCAGTGCGGCCAAATGAGCCATGACTCCCTGGGTTGTACCATGGCGATTCGTACACAGTATGCTTCTGATTGTTGATGTCTGATGCTTTTTACCCGTTCATTCCGTTTAAAATTTTGCCAAACTGCTGTGCCAACAGAAGGAGGTCACATGCAAGGTGCCATGTTGGCAGTGCCAACGGACTGCTCCCTCGGGTTTTGTCTCGCGTCTGTGGCATTCTGTGCCATCTGAGTCTGGGACCCCGAGGGTCAAGACACGCGTCGCTGTGGCTGCAACATCAGGGTTGGAGCCCCACAGTACTTGTATTGGTTTGAATGCAAGAAGAAACCCCAAGGCCACATTGGGCCATTGATCATGTCATAAGGCCGGCCACTGGGGGCGAAAAAGCCTCGAAGTTCCCCGTCAAGATCTCAGGACCCCTCCCCCGTTTCACCGTTCTTGGAGCAAGCTGTTTTTGAGTTCTGTTATTTTTTTCTGCGGGGCTGCAAAAGAGTTGTTGTTGTTTGCTACCCATATCAACGGTTGTGAAGCCCTGGTTGGTGGCTTTTGGAACCCCTGGTTCTTGCAGAGGGTAAATCGGAAACCACCCGGAACACCACCAAACCGCCAACCCTCCTCCAACCAACACTCCCGCTTTTTTTTGAACAACAAACGGCCCGAGTTTGATCTTTGGGCTTTAACTTTGTGGGAGATCAAACACAATTTTTCGGTTAACCCACAAAAGTGAACCTTTATGAGGGGACAACAGTCACCAAGTTAAAAGAATGGCACGGTCCCGTTTCATCATCTCAGGTAAGCGGTGCTCAAGATCACCTTGTGGTCCGATTGTGGTTGAGTAGTAAAAGCAGACGGCGTCACGTTCTGCAGGTTGCAAGACGCAATGGATGAAGGCTTCTTTCATAGGGACGCATTTGATATTTTTTGTTGGCGAGTTATCTTTGCCCAGTTGAGATTCCATGTTGGCATCATGCTGAAAGGGGACTTTGGGGTTTGAAAGTTGGGCTTAAAGCACATGCCCAGGGCACCCCGTCAGTTTAGTTTTTGTTCCTTCCTGTGGCCAATGGCAAAAGATGTACAAAAAGCTGAGAGCCAGTTTCAGTTGGGCGAAAGTTTCTCATGTTGCTGAAAATCATCTCCTGACACGAAAAAAATAGCATCTGTACCGGCCAGAACGTACCTCCCTCCCACCAGCTAACATGGAACCTGACGTTCGGGACCCGGTCTGTTAAGGAACATGGTCCAATCAGGGGTCCCTTTTTACGGAAATTCGCCTTCCAGGCTCCATGTCAAGAATGGCGAGAGGCTCCCCCGCTTTTTTGTTCCCATGAAAGCGTCTGTGCCCTCTTTGAGGTCTAGTTGTCAACACTTTGATTGCAGACGTGTTCCAAGGGACCCTCCCCAGCTCCGAGCAACAGGTCGCTTCGCCGGTTTTCGTCGCTCCAGGCGACGAGACGGCGAAGCTGCGCTTCGAGCAGCCCACCATGCCGCCCCCGCCCCCGCAGCAGGCGGAGAGTTTGGCGCGAGTCGGCGGGGGTCCGCTCGCCGTGGGTCCTCGCCGCGGGGCGGTGGTGGGTCAAGGGGTTAGCCCACCTAAGCAGAGAGCTTAGCAGGAGAGCCCTCCGAAGCAGAGAACACCCCAGAGCTTCCCCGGGAAAGTGCTTGGAACTTCTTGTGCTTGCTTGCTCTTCTTCTTTGGGGCCCGTGATGAGCCGAACTCATTGGTAGTTACCTGAGTGCCCCCAGGGTGCTTGGGTTTGCCATGGTGGCTGGCTTCTTTGATTTGGGGCAAGGCTCATTTGCCACCTGGGTTGGTTGGAGCGGGGAGCCGAGCCGTTACAGCGCTGGGGGAATCCAAATTTGCAACTTGAAAGAGGGAGCAGTTCAGGAGCTACCCGGCGTTCTGGTGAGGGACATGGTAGAATTGTTCCGGAAGACTAAATATGAAACGGAACAGGTATCGGTTTGGTAACTGAAGATGTGATGCTCGCCTTACTGTGGATGTTGGCCAAGAACAACAGGGGATCTTCTAGAAACTTTTTGTTTGGGGGGGGGGGGTCTGGAGGAGGTTATGACTGGGGTCAAGGTGTGGGAACATCTTACATTTTTGCCCAGGTGATGGTACTTGCAGCAAAGTAGGGCTGAGCATCAACACCACAAAAGAGAGTTGGAGACATTGTTTTCTGGGCAGGGCTTCCGGAATAGCGGAACACCATTCCAGACAGGTACCCCACCTGCAACAACGCACCTTTGTTCAAACAAGCTGCATATGACGAAAGAGCGAGGGCATTTCACACTTCGGCTTTGGGCTTTGAAGCTCAAAGCAGGCTTCTGTTTTTTTTTCTCCATTGGTTATTGGTTGGAAACCACCTCAAAGGTTGGAACCGAATCCCCTGGAAGATGCTCACCTTTCGGGGTCCTGCAACTTGTTTTTTTCACCCAACTTGCGGACACCATAATGTTGACCCCATATTGATGAACTTATTAATATGGGACATCAGACCACTTTTGGAGTGGCCAAACGCCACCCCGCTGTCAATCAACTGGGGTTCATTGATATGGGGTCAACATCAACTCAAAACTGGGCAGCCTGGCTCGTCTGGCTATCGCCTGACTGTCAGGCGATGGGAGGTCCGGGGCCCTAGACGGTTACCCTGACAGCCGTGGCTCATTTGGCTGCGAACTTGTGACCTGCAAGTGCCGGCAGACTGACATGGAGCGATTCAAACCACAAGATCATCTTTAGGAGCGGATCTCTTTTTCTCACTTCTTGAGTTCCTGGACTTTAAGCTTTTTGGGAAGACAATTGTAGTGGTTTGGATTTTTGTTGGCCAATCCACTTAGGAAGTGAGTTTTGATGGACCTTGTTTTGGGTTCCACGTTATTTTGAGCTCCCGGGACAGGACTGCGACCCTTTCTTCAGCCTCTGAGGGACCTGAAATTTGCCCGATGGGTCAAACTCTTGCCAGCAAACATTGTAAACCGCACCTTGCACATCAAAAGTGGCCCCTTTGTTTCAAATACTGCAGCCCTATTCGCGGTCCACCCATTGCAGCATGCGAAGCGGGTGTGCCGTTGGCGTATTGGGATGGGTCGCCTCAAGTTTCGCGAGGGGGTGCCATGGTTCGGTGGGGCCTTTGTTCCGACTGAAACCGTCACCGAGGCTCACTCCCTGAGCCCCGTTTCGGACTTCAATACGTTTCGGGTTTGCACCATTTTAGTGGTAAACATGAACAAAACAGTTTGGTTGTTTTGTTTCGGCCAGTTCCCCCTCAAAAAGCGAGAACCAGTTTGGGGCTTCTTTCGCCCAGTCCACTCAAACAGTGAGAAACAGTTTGGGGCGTTTTTCGCCCAGTCCACTCAAAAAGCGAGAAACAGTTTGGCGTTTTTTTCCGGCCAGTTCCCCCTCAACAAGTGAGAACCAGTTTGAGTTTTTTGCGGCCAGTCCACTCAAAAAGTGAGAAACAGTTTGTTGTGTGTTATTTTTGTTTCGGCCAGCCAGTCCACTCAAAAAGTGAGAAACAGTTTGAGCTTTTGTCGGCCAGGCCCCCCTCAAAAAGTGAGAAACGGTTTTTGAGTTTTTTTTTCGGCAAGCGAGAAACCGTTTGGGGCTTTTTTCGGCCAGTCCACTCAGGAAGTGAAGAAGGGCCACCCTTTCCACCAGTGCCACCTGTCAAGTCTGATGCCTGCCTCGGACCAGGCTACAAGGGCGGCTTCAAGGGAGGCCCGGCGCTGGGGGATGGACTTCTGCAGCGTGCGCTTGCGCGCGTGGGCGCGCTTTTCTCGGTTTTTGGTTGGTTGCAGAGGGCGCCCAAAGGAACAGCGCTCGTTCTTTTTGGTGTTGTTTCTGGCTACGGTGAATTCTACCATTTTGCTAAGGGAACAATGGACATCTAATTTCCTGTAATTCCAGCCATGTTTTTTTGGTGGCTGCCTTGGTTGGGGGGGGGGGGGGGCGTCGGCGTGTCCAAGTTGTCGGCAGGCTTCAAAGGCGACAAGGGGGACTTCAAAGGCTTCAAGGGCCGCTTGGGCCGAACTGAAGTCGCGGCACATTCTCGCCCGTGGCTCTTCGTTTTGTTCAAAAGCTGGCTGGATAGGTTCAATATATATATATATATATGTCCCGATAATATATATATATATATCAATAGATATATATATTTATAGATATATCAATATATATATATACAAGTACATACACACACACACATATATATATATATATATATGAACTCATGACCATTTTGGACCTTTTGGATTTGGGCTGATTTCCCAGAATTCCACCATAGCTAACGGAAAAATAAGTAGCTCACAAGCTAGGGGTTCATACAAGGAGCTCATATTGGGCATGTGCATTCAGCCTTTGATTCGTTCGCTTCAAGCTGAGGCTTTGGCAAGGATCAGGGGAAGAAGGGCTTCGAC